TGCCTCCTCCCTCCCTCTTCCTTTTTTTTGTTCTCTCTCTCTCTCTCTCTCTCTATATATATATATATATATATCCCCTCTCTCTCTCTTTCTATACCTCTCTTATCTGTTTTTTTCTCTCTTCTTCTCTCTCTCTCTCTCTCTCTCTCTGCTTCTAATCAACCGCCCTCCTCTTCGCTCCTTCTCTCCTGGCGTTTTCCCTCTTCCTTCGTCCCTCCCCCTCCCTTCCTCCCACTCTCCCTCGTTCTCCCCCTCCTTTTTTTGCAGGGCCCACACCAATTCCAATAACGGGTACATGTACGCCCACGAAGGATTGTCCGCCCGTTCAGGTTTGCCTGCCTGTCTAAGCCCGCCGCCCCCCGCAAAGAGAAGTAATCCCCCCAAAGGGGGTGTAATCGAAGACAAAAAGGGCGGGTATCGAGGGTGTGGGGAAATCGTTGTGAATGACACGCGGGCAACTAAGAGCGAACAGTTTTAGAATGATTGTTGTCGCTGGATGTTAATTAATAAACAAGTATAAATGTTGGACCCCTTACAAGCGCCCTGGCGCTCTCGGCGAGGCGCCGGCTGCACTTTCATTGAAAGCGAGCCTCACTTTCAAGCGGTTTGGGGGACCGCCCAAACCGGCCCCTCAAGAACAACAGCGCTCCCGTTCGAGACTTCCTCCTTTTTTTTCTCAGGGCCGGTGCTCTTGCTCGCCAGCGAAAGCAGCCGTCTCAACAAAACTAACGCTCCCGCTCGAGACGTCCTCCCGTTTTACCTTGGACAGGCGCGCTACTCTTTCTCTCATCGGCGGCGCCCCCCAGTAATAACAACGCTCCCGCTCGAGTCTTCCTCCCTTTTTTACTCAAGGCGGTGCTTTTGCTCGCCGCCGACAGCCCCCGTCCCGACAAAACCAGCGCTCCCGCCCGAGAATTCCTCCGGTTTTACGCTGGACTGGCGCCCTTTCCTCCTCCCCTCCTCCTCCTCCTCCTCCTCCTCCTCCTCCTCCTCCTCCTCCTCCTCCTTGTCCTCCTCCTCCTCCTTCTCCTCCTCCTTCTCCCTCCTCCCCCCTCCCTCCTCTTCCTCCCTCTTGCTTCCTCCACCCCCTCCTCTTCTCCCTCCTCCCTCCTCCCTGCCCCGTCCCTCTTTCCTCCCTCCTCCCTCCCCCCTTTTCCTCCCTCTCCTCCTTTTCCTCCTCCTCGTCCTTTTCCTCCTCCTCCTCATCCTCCTCCTCCTCCTCCTCCTCTTCCTCCTCCTCCTTTTGTTCCTCCTCCTCCTCTTGTTTCTCCTCCTTCTCCTCCTCCTCCTCCTCCTCCCTCCTTCCCCCTCTCTTTTCCTCCCTCTTCCTCCTTTCACCCCCTCCTCTTTTCCCTCCTCCCTCCTCCTTCTCCTGTCCCTCTTTCCTCCCTCCTCCTCCCTCCTCCTTTCCCTTTTCGTCCCCCTTGTCTCCTCCCTCCTGCCTCCCTCCTCCCTCCTCCCTCCTCGTTCCTCCCTTCCCCTTCCGTCCTCCCTCGTTTCTTCCGTTTGATACTTCCTCAGCTTTTGCTCAAGACTGGGGCCCTCGTTTCGGCATCGCCTTGGGGGGCTTCCATGAGTCCCTGTTGAATTTTAATTATTAAACAAGTATCATTTTTGGAGAGCATAGATACTGTGGAGGAGGAGAAGAAGAAGAAGGAGGACGGATAACTTCCAGGGGCTCCAAGGATCAAGGGTCGAAGGGCTGACTTCAGGGATTCCTTGAGAGGGTGTGGAGGGGCAGGTGGAGGATGCGAGCATGGGAGCGGCAACGCCTGGGGGCGTGAACGTTCAGGGTCGCGCTCCGGGGCCGCAGGATGGTGGCGTAACAGTTCGAACGGGGAGTAAGAACCACCTCGTCCTCGGAGGTACTGCTACTACATCCACTCCTCCTTCCTCCCCCTCCTCCTCCTCCTCCTCTTCCTCCCTCCTCCTCCTCCTCCTCTCCCCCTTCCTCTCCCTCATCTTCCCTCACCTCCTCGTCCTCTTCCTCCTCCTCCTCCTCCGAGATGCGGGGCGTGCGCAAGGCGATTGCGATAGCGATGTGCCCTCCGAGCTGTGGATGTCGAAGTTCCTCGAAAGAGGCGGTGGCAATATTTTCCTGGGCGGGGCATCTGGGCGAGGGAATATCGGGCCCCACGTGCCAGAAGCATCTCCCATGATGGGGTGTGGTATCCAGAAGGATGCACGTGACGTGTGGAAACACGGCGCATGATGGTAGAATGATTGTCGGTGTGGTTGTTCTAGGTGATGGCGTTAGTGTTGCGGTTGAATATTCATTTCTAGAGAATTATTATTGTTGCTGATTTCCGTCAACGGTTCAGGGCGCTCTCGCTTCGACGCTGGCTACACTTTCTCTGAAAACGAAGCTCCCGCTCGAGCGTCGGCTTGAAAGTGCGGCTTTGGAGGCCCGGCTACGACGACAACGGCTCCCGCTCGATACTTCCTCACCATTTACTTTCAGACACCCTGGTCATAGAGGCCTCCGAACTCAGGAACGGCGCTCTCGCTCGAGACCTCCTCGCAATTCAATCAAGTTGGCGGGGGCCCAGCCACGACGACAGGCTCCTGCTCGATACTTCCTCACGAACTACTCCGAGAGCCCCTGGCCAGGAAGGCCCCCGAACTCAGGAACGGCGCTCTCGCTCGAGACTTCATGATTAAGTCAAACTGGTGGAGGCCCACATGCGACGACGAGGGCTCCCGTTCGATACTTCCTCCAGATGTATTCGCAAAGGCCCTTGCCCACCGAGGCCCTGGCGCGCTGCCCACTGAGGCCCCCGACACACAACCCGCTGAGGTTCAGACTAAGCCCGCAGGGACCGTAGCATGCTGCCCGCAAACCCTCCGGGACAGCCCACATACAGGCGCCAAGCGCGCCCACAGAGGCCCCGGCGCGCTGCCCACAGAGGCCCCAAGCGCGCCCACAGAGAGCCCAGCGCGCTGCCCAATGAGGCCCCCGACACAGCCCAATGAGGCCCCAAGCGCGCCCGCAAAGGCCCCAGCGCGCTGTCCAATGAGGCCCTCCGGCGCAGCCCACAGAAGCCCAAACCCACGCCCCGAGCGTGCCCACGGAGGCCCCAACGCGCTGCCCGCGGAACCCCCCCCGTTCCACAGAGGCCCCCGACAGCCCACAGAGGCCCTGAGCGTGCCCACGGAGGGCCCAGCGCGCTGCCCACTGAGGCCCCGACTTCCCACAGAGGCCCCACACGCGCCCGCAGAGGCTCCTGCCCACAGAGGCGCCAAGCGCGCCGAGGCCCCCGCACGCTGCCCACGGAAGCCGTCCGGCGCATCCCACAGAGGTCCCAGCGCGCCCACAGAGGCCCCAGCCCACAGAGGCCCAAACGCGCCCACAGAGGCCCCAAGCGCGCCCACAGAGGCCCCAGCGCGCTGCCCACTGATGCCCCAACCCACAGGCCCCAAGCGCGCCCACGGAATCTCCAGCGCGCCCCCCGACAACGCCCACAGAGGCCCCGCGCGCGCCCACACAGGTCCCAGCCCACACAGGCCCCGAGCGCGCCCACGGAGGCCACCGCGCGCTGCCCACCGAGGCCGCACAGGCCCCAAGCGCGCCCACAGAGGCCCCAGCGCGGTGTCCACTGAGGCCCCCGACGCAGCCCACAGGCCCCAGCCCACAGGCCCCAAGCGCGCTCACAGAGGCCCCAGCGCGCTGCCCACTGAGGTCCCCCAACACCCCATAGAGGCCCCAAGCGCGCCCACAGAGGCTCCCCCGCGCTGCCCAATGAGGCCGCCGACGCAGCCCACAGAGGCCCCAAGCGCGCCCACAGAGGCCCCAGCGCGCTGCCCACTGAGGCCCCCCGACACAGCCCACAGAGGCCCTAAGCGCGCCCACAGAGGCCTTAGCCCGCAGTGGCCCCGAGCGCGCCCACAGAGGCACCCGAGCGCTGCCCACTGAGGCCCTCGACGCAGCCCACAGGCCCCAAACGCGCCCACAGAGGCCCCAGCCCGCAGAGGCCCCAAACGCGCCCACAGAGGCCCCGGCGCGCTGCCCACTGAGGCCCCCGACGCAGCCTACAGAGGCCCCAGCCCACAGAGGCCCCAGCGCGCTGCCCACTGAAGCCCCCCGACAGCCAACAGAGGCCCCACGGGCGCCCACATAGGCCCTTGCCCGCAGAGGCCCCAAGCGCGCCCGCAGAGGCCCCAGCGCGCTGCCCACTGAGGCTCCCCAACGCAGCCCACAGAGGCCCCAAGCGCGCCCACAGAGGCCCCAGGCCGCAGAGGTCCCAGGAACGGCGCTCGCGGTTCAATCAAGTTCGCGGATGCCCAGCCGCGACGACAAGGCTCCCGCTCGATATTTTCTCGCGATCTGGGAGGCCCTGACCAGAGAGGTTCCCGAACTCAGGAACAGGCCCTCGCTGTGGACATCCTCGCAACTCAATCAAACTAGTGGGGACGCTGGTGCATTGGTTGCTTGGATTTGGATTCGTAGCTCGAGACCCAGTCTGGCGCGGGTTGCATGCGGCCCATAGCTCCCCTTCGACTTCCCCAGTCGCCCTGGCCTCCGCCTCGGCTATATGGCACTGAGTACATCGTGTGGCGCTTGCATCTTGCGTAGACCTGTCTCATCCGAAGAATGGTTGCTCGCGTTACGAATACCGATTTCGCGTATCAAGATCGATGCGCAAATTCAGATTTCCTCCGCGATCTGCCTCCAGACTCCCCACATTCATATTAAATTGTGGCATGTTGGTTTCCCGTGATCGGTTCCCTAGATCTTGTTTGTGCTCATGTGGTTGACGTTTGTGTCGCATTATGTATTCATTCCATATTGTTAGCTTGCTTGAGCTTGTTTGCTGCTTGTGACTGCTCTGCACTTGCGCCAGTCCCTCACACTGCCCAGCGCTCATCGGCACTTCTGCTCCAACAGCCACTTGAGTTCTGGGTTAAGGCCACGATACTGCGTTGTCTACCCAGCTCCTGTTCGCGTTTTCACTCATCCTCGCGTCGTGCGCACATCGTTCCCGGCTCGCGACTGCCCACAGGCCGCGGGTGATAACCGAGCAGAAGTGTTGTATGGGAAAGCGCTGTCTGGCTTTCCACATGAACCCAGATGACACCGCGGATATTGACACCCTGGACGGGGGCACAGCAAAAGAATGCCAGCAGCGATTGGGTTTGAGGGGCGGGCCACGCTCATCCCAGCAGACGCGCCCATCCGAATATTGTGGAAGGGACATGAAGGGACCAGCGCATACCGTCATATATCATTTCAGGCAGTTCCTGCGTGAACTCAGTTCGATCTCCTCCGCCTCCGCCTCCTCCTCCTCCTCCTCCTCCTCTTCCTCCGATCCCGTCGCACCTCTTCTTTCACCCGAAGTACCCCGAGATGTTCTCGCTCATGATGGCGAACTGCGATTTGGAGGCGGCGACGGTCGAGGACCGCTGGCGCACCACCAAGACTTGCATGAAACTGGCAGCCCGTCTGATCCGCGACGAGCAGCTTCGCACCAACGTCTCCCTCAAGGTCAAGGACGGCAATTCCGAGACCACGTACATGGGCTTCAAGTCTGCGGCGTGGGCCCTCTGGCGCCAGGACGCGCCGCTCGCGGCCCGCCTGCTGGCTTCGTGTCCCGCCCTCTCCGCCCACCTGATGATCGACCAAGGCTCGGTTCGCGTGGTGGACTCCAGAGCCTTCGGCGAGTCCTTTGACGCGGTCGCGGCGAAGGTGCACGCCCTGCGCAGGCAGGCGGCTGAGGCTGCTGCGCGGAGGTCCAACGACCGCGATGGCCCCGCCTGGCGCCGGGTGGAGCGCAGGTCGGCCCGACACGCACAGCTATGGATCCCCTGGCGGCGCAGAATGGTTCTCGCTGGCCTACGGCTTGACTCTGCCCCCTGCGCCTCCGACAACGCCGCGGACGTGCCCCCCAAGGTGGTCAGCGACTCTGCGGGCATGACGGGCGTTGTGGCTGAGCACTGGGGCAAGATTTTCGAGCGCACACCGACCGTGGAGCAGAAGTTGCGGCTCAACCAGTTCCTTGATCGTCATGCCCCGCAGCTTCCTGTGGTGGAGCTACCTCAGCCGTCGCTGCGCGCGCTGGAGCGTGCTGCTACGAGGGCCCCGCCCAGCGCCCCTGGGCCTGACCAGCTACCCTACGCAGCGTGGCGACGCAGCCCTGACGCACTATCGCATCTTCATGCTTTGATGGAGCAGCTCTTCAACGAGGGTGTTGGGCCGCATGACCTCAACTGGTCGATCTTCCTCTGTGTACCGAAGGGGACTGAGGACGAGGACACCCCCGATTCGTGTACCCGAACGGCCTCCACCGTCCGCACGCTCTCCCTCAAGAGCGCGGATGCCAAGCTCATCGCCTCCTGCGCGGATCGTGCTCTGCAGTCCATTGCCTCTGTGGCGACGGACGGGATGCAGAAGAGCTTCACCACTGGGCGCCGTTTCGTGGACCACATCCCATTCCTGGACGCGGAGTGCCGTCGCGAGGGTCTCCTCCCTGGTGCCGCTCAGCGGCGCCCGATGCTGCTCTCCTACGACTTCCGCCTGGCCTTCCCGTCCCTCTTCCGCGATGTGATTGACATGGTACTGCCGAGGTACGGCGTCCCGCTGGGCTTCTGCAGCGTGGTCTCGGCGCTGTGCTGCAACTGCCGTGCCTTCAGCTCATTTCGAGCCTCGGGACCCAGCGCGGCGATAGAGCCGCTCTTTGCCCTGAGGTGCGGCATCATGCAGGGGTGCCCCCTTTCTGGAACGGTCTGGTGCTTGGGTATGGATGCTCCGATCCGCGCGCTGATCAAGGCGCTGGGAGACCCCCTGAAGGTTGCCTCACAGCGTGCGCAGACGACCTGGGCATGCTTATCCGCAACGCCAAGATCCTCCCGTCCATCGCCGGATCCTTCAATGACATCGAGTTCGCATTCAATCTGCAGCTGGCGATCCACATGTGTGCGCTGGTCCCGCTCTGGGCCGAGGTCTCGCCCAGCCTGATCAAAGAGACCGAGGAGTACTTGGCCGAGCTGGTCCCGAGCTGGAGGGGCTTCCGCGTCGATTCCTCCACCAAGTATTTGGGCACGCGCATCGGACCAGGCATCTCGGAGCAGGGCATCTGGAAGGATGCTGCGGCGAAGTGGTGGTCTCGGGCTGCGGAGCTGAGCCGCACGGGCATGGCGACCAGCCTTGCCGCCCGCGCTTACAACGTGAGCGTGCTCCCGTGCCTCTCCTACCTGGCCCAGTTCTTCTTCCTCATCCCCGAGATATGGCGGGTCGAGTTCACGATGCTCCACCGCCTCTTGCAGTTCCCGCCCTCGTCCATGCGCAAGGCGGACATCCTCGCCATGGGCGCGTGGTGCGGCTCTCCCGCGCCTGTGGGCCTGCTCCCGTACTCTGTCGACACCATCCTCCGTGCGGCGGCCCACGCAGTGCGCGGCTGGGCTCCTGTGCTGCGCTCATTGCACGAGACGGCGGTCGAGCATCTCCCGCTGGTTCGTGTGCCACGGGGCGCGTGGCCACCGCCCTGGTGGGCCTCCAAGCGCGCCGTCGTCCAGAACTACGGCCTCGTGATGGATTTGTTCCGCACCCTCCCGCACCCGCGCCCCGAGCTTGACAAGCTGCCCGCCCCTGCCCCGCCTGCCCTCGTCGAGGCGGCCCGCCGAGCGATGGCCGACGAGGAGCTGGCCGCCGCCGCTGCCGCCCCGCCCAGGAAGGTCAAGCGCCAGGCCGCCGCCATGAGCGCCCTGAGGGACGGCCTCTACGACGACCGCCTCGACCTCCTCATCGGCCGACGCTTGCGGCGCTGGGGCATCGAGATCTCCCCCGAGGAGCTGCACGGCCGATGGCTGGACCTCCGAGCTGTTCTGCGAGAGGCGCGCCCTTCATGGCTGTGGTCGTGGCTCCGCACGGCGGTCAACGGTTGGATCACCTCAGGCAGGGTGCACGCCATCGCCCCGCGGCCGTGCATTCTCGGTTGCGACGCCGAGGACGACCTGGCACACTACATGAACTGTGAGAAGTTCCGCAGTGTGGTCGCAGCCCCTGCAGAGCCGAGTGAGTTGAAGGATGGCATTTGTCTTCCTAGGGCTCGACCACCCGCGCGGGCATCGCGCGCGCACCCGCGAGACCTGTGAGCATGCGGTGGCGTTGGCCACGCAACTATATCTTATCGTAAAGTGGCGGATCGACAGCGGTCTGTCTGTCCATGACGCTGCGATCGCGGCCGCGCGCATCGCAGCCTTGCATCTTACAGGCCTAGAGTTCAAGTGCACGCACCTGGTCGCCGAGCTTCGCGCCCTCCTCCCCCTGCACCCCTGGTGCGCGAGGCACTGATCCCTCGAATGTAAGGAGCGATGGCCCTGGGGTGCCCCCCCGAAGGCCCCAGGCGCCCGAGAGGCTCAATGCCGCCCCGACCGGGCCCGAAGATGCTCTCCAGAGGCCCGCTGAGGTCCTCTCTGACGCCGACGTGGGGCCCCAAGAGGTCCTCCGCACCTCCCGACGGCAAATGCGCTAGGGGCCTGCGTTCCTCTAAGTGAGGCCAGGTTCGATGTGCTGGAATGCACCGCGCGCGTCGCCCGCGTGCCGCGTCCGCGTGCCGCACCGTCGTGCCGCCCGCGTGCCGTGCCCGTGCTGTGCCCGCGTGCCATGCCATAGTGATGGGCCGTGCCGTTCCTAGCCTGTGCTGAGGAGCCCGCCACGCGCGCCGCCCACGTGCCGTGCCCGCTCCGTGCACGCGTGCCGTGCTTTGCTATGCCTGTGTCGTGAAACGTGGCAAGCGCGCCGCCCGCGCGCCGTGTCCGCGCCGTGCCCGCGTGCCGTGCCGTCGTGCCGTGCGGCGCACGTGCGTTACCTGTGCTGTGGAGTGCGGCGCAAACGCGCCGCCCGCTGGCCGTGGCTGTGCCGTTCCCGTGCGCCGTGCCGTCGTGCCAGGCCGTGCCGCGCCTAGCCTGTGTTGTGGAACGCGGCAAACGCGCCGCCCGCCTGCCATGTCATCTCCGTGCGCGTGCTGCCGTGCCTTGCTTTGCGTGTCTTCTTCAATGCGTCAACCGCGCCGCTCGCGTGCCGTCTCCGCGCCGTGCCCGTGTGCAGTGGCGCCGTGCCGTGCCGCGCGCGTTTTATGCAGCGCGACTAGTTCGCCGCCCGCGTGCCGTGCCCGTGCATCGTGTGCCGCGCCGTCATGCCGTGCCGTCGTTCCATGCCGTGCCGTGTCTTCGGAGACGCGCCGCTGCTCGGGGAAGGCTTGCCGCCAGTGTGGAGCGGCATCTCCCTCGTTTCGCCACTACTGAGCCGACTGCCCAGCCTATCATTTCGAGCGAACTGGCATCGCCAGGAGACATGACTTACCCTTCTATTGGTGGTCTACTGCGCCGAAGGTTCTCAGTAAGTCGGGGTGGGTCTGCCGTTCCGACTCGCAGAGCCCAACTGAACGAGTGACCAAGCTGACTGCCGCCGTCGAGATGGCGACTGTTGTTTTGGGCACCGACATGGCTGCAAGGCTACATCCACTAGACCACGAACTTTCTCAAACGGTTCGTGAGGTTGGAGGTTGATTTCAGTTTCAAGGTGAAGTTACTCCAGAGTTCGGGTATTTCACGATCGCCATCTTCTTCTCACCCCGTTTGTGTTCTGGTGAGCGCCCAAACCATTGCCCACGTGTCCCCGTGCCGTGCCCGTTCTGTGCCCGTTCCGTGCCGCCGTGTTGCTGTGCCGTGCCTTGCCTGTTGTTGTAGACTGCGCCAAACGCGCCGCCCGCGTGCCGCGTCCGCGCCATGCCCGTGTGCCGTGTCCGTGTGCCGTCGTGCCGCGCGCGTGCCTCGCCCGTGTTCTGGAACGCGCCAGACGCGCCGCCTGCGTGCCGTGCCCACCCGTGCCCGTGTGCCGTGCTTTGTGCCGCGCGCGTGCTTCGCCGCTGTTCCGGAAGACGCCGAAGGCGCCGCCCGTGCACGCTGCCCGCGCCGCGCAGGCAACGTGCACCGTCGCGCCGAGCTGTCGCCCAGGGCCTCCTCTTCTGGTGCCACTTCCTTGCCGGGCAGCTGCCCCCCCCCTGCTCCCCCCCCCTCCTCGCGAGTTCCTCGGCCCCTCGGGGCTCCTGGGCGCCATGTCGGAGTGCCCCCCCTGCTTTACCCCCCCCCCTCCTCGCGATGCCCTCGGCCCCATCAGGGCTCGTGGGCGCCGTGTCTGCGCGTCCCCCCGGGGGCCTCCTGCGCCTCTCGGTCGCCTCGGCCAGGCCTCGCACGCGGGCCGTGCCCATGTGGCGGCCCCGGGGGGCCGCGGAACTGCTGCTCGTGTCGGTTCACGGGCCGCCTGAGGCAGCCACAGAGGCCTCCAAGAGGGCCCAAGGGAAGGGGAGCGCGGGTGCGGGGATACGGGCCTCGGAAAAATAGCGAACGCCACATTCATCTGTCAACGCCAATTCATGCCACATTCATCATTCAACGTTCATGCCACATTCATCTGTCAACGCCTCCCCCTCCCCCAATGTTCGACCGTAGTCTCCCCCGCCCGTGCCAACTTTGAGTTTGGGGGGCAGGGGGGGTGTTCACTCATTGTTTCCCGCCACAGTAGCTGCTTCACGCTCCACCAGTGACTTGGCATTCGGTGTTGCAGTGGCCCCTGCAGTGTGTCTGGACGCGTCGGTGGTGACAAGGACAAGCGTTGTTCCGTCGGGGAAAAGTAGGACTCGGGTAAGCCGGAGCTCGGGTTTGCTGACCTTTTTTAGACGAGCGCGCCCCTGGATTTTGACGGTCCCGTTCTCGTAGGGACGTCTGCAGCGGGAGCCCGCGTCAAATTTCAGATTGGACCTCGTCATTTTTATGATGGCCCCTGTCAGGCCAAACCGAGTCCCCCGTACCCGAGTCTTACGTCTCCCCGATTCTGGTTTGAGCCTTGAGCGGTGGTCGTGCCAGATGAGCATTGCACTTCTGTGTTCGAGGTTCGGAGGAGGCGTTGCACGAGCAGTCTTGCTGCCGAGGGCCAGACTCCAGCCCAAGCCTCGCCGAGGCGAGGCCGATGGCCAGCGACTGCAGAGTGGTTTGCCGTGTGCTGGCTGCGAGAAGGCCGATTTTGTCCAGCAGGTTGGTCCTCGTTGGTCCTCGAAGTTCTTCGGCGCGCGGACTGTCCCTCCTCGAGCCCTCCTCTCGATCGTCGTCGTCGTCATCGTCGAGGAAACACATCGTCATCGTCATCGTCATCGTCATGCTTCGGCCCCCGACCTCCGAGGGCTCGATTCTTTCAATGCGGCGTCCCCCGGAGCTCTGGACCACGTCCCGGGGTCCAGCTTTTCGTCCCAGCTCGTCTTTTGACGGCCCCCGGGCTGGGCCCGGCGAGGGTCCCCCGAGACGCCGAACGCGGCGGAAGATGCGCCGCTTCTGCCCGTTCCATGCGTTTTGGGGTCCAGGGCTTCCTCCCCCAATGACTAACCCCAAGTGGCGAGGGGAGGACCAGTGGAAGGACGCGGAGGTCAAAAAGAAGGCGCAGCTGGCGGCTTCAGCATGAGCAGCTGCCGGCCCGAGCAGTGCCCGCTGCAGCCCGCGCTCGGCACCTGCTGCGCCTTCCGAGGCGGCCTTGTGGCGAGGAACTTCTCGGGGGCGTGCCTCTCGACCTCCGCCCTCGTTCGTTCGAGGTTCGAGGTTCGAGGCTTGCGGGCGCTTTCGTCGGTTCTCGGCGGCTTTCTAGCCTCGAGGTGCTCTCCAGCAGCTGCGCCTCGCCGAGAGCGCTCTGGGTGTGCCCAGATCGTCCCGAACGGACGCCAGAAGATTTAGGTATGGCCCAGAAACCACTCGGGAGGCAGCTCGGGGGGGACGTCCTCCATGTTTATATATATACATATATATATATACATATATATATAGATATATATATATATATAAATGATGAGAAACTCCTCCCTGTCACCCCGAGACGGGTCGATAGGGCGGACCTGGCGTTTCACCTGGGACCTCCTCACCATGTATGTTCTTGAGGCTTGACAGTTGTAGCATTTCTACGGATGGAGGGTGGGCCGTTTTCAAAATGTGGCTCTCGCCTTGGCGCCGCGCACATTCGTTCTAATAGATTGCAGAAGTTTGGCAGATGGAGGGCGGGCCGCTTTCAAAATATGGCTCTCGCCTTGGCGCTGCGCACCTTCGTCTTGAAGTTTACGAGGGCTTCACGGATCGAGGGCGGGCCGTTTTCAACATGTGGCTCTCGCCTTAGCGCCGCGCGCATTCGTTTAAATAGATTGCAAGAGTTTCACGGAAGGAGGGCGGGCCGTTTTCAGAATATGGCTCTCGCCTTGTCGCCGCGCACATCAAGCTTAAAATGTTACAAGGGTTTCGCGGATGGAGGGCGGGCCGTTTCCAAAATGTAGTTCTCGCCTTGGCGCCGCGCACATGTGTTTTAAACGTTTGCAGCCGTGTCGAGGATACTTTTGGTTGGTGTCCCAGAAATGGTATCTCGGCACGGTTTAAGATCGACAGGGCGCGACATTCACGTGCATTCGCGGTGTTACCGTCCCAGAAGCGGTCCGAACATTACGCTTGATTCGCGGCGTTGAAGTCACAGGAATGGTGTTGAAGATTTCAGATTGTTGTTTTCCAATGGGGTTCTTCCCGCAGCGAAGATGGATAATTCCTAGCAGGGGCCTATAAGGAGGAAACCTGCAGGGAGGGTTTATTGCAACATCGCTGACGGTTCTTGGGTTTACACTGGTCCTCCTCCTCCTCCTCGTCTCCTCCTCCTCCTCCCTCCTCCTGCTCCTCCTCCTCCTCCTCCTCCTTCCCTACCCATTGTGGCTCAAGATGACATTCTCTTCGGGGCAGAAAACGGACACTTCTGCAAGGAGGCTAGACCCAACTGTCTTCAGGCATCATCGGGCGAGCTGTGCGCTACCGACCAAGAGCCTCTATTTCTCGCTCATGTTTGTGAACTCTTGCTGGTGCAACCGCACTGTCCCCCAAGACGGAGTCAGGATGCCGCCTGCTGCTGCGCGCGACAGCGGGAGGCCCCCGCAGTCTTCAGCCCAGGCACATCGCAATCGCAGTGATGAACGTGGTGATCAGCGCGGCGCTGCTGGTCGATCCGCTGACATGTGGGACGAGATCTCAGAAGAGAGCGCTACGACGGACGACTCCCGCTGGGCTGACGCTGTCCAAAAGGTCGCTGCCTCCCCTCAGCCACACCACCGAGATGGCGCCTAACAAGTTCACCCTGCAGATGCCACTGGATCAGGAGCACATGCTGTCCCTGTACTTGGTGCACATCCTGGGGCTGGGAGCGGAGGGATTCAGCCCCTCGAACTCACAGCTCCCAGCTCCCATGCTCGAGCTCATCAGCCTCCACAGACCTTCCCAGACGCGACTGACCCTGGAGCAGAGGATCGCGGCCACCATCGGCAGACAGTTCAGCCACATCCAATGGGAGCTCCAGATTTTCATCGGCGCCACCATGGCCAACGCCATGGCCAATATCCAGCACGACCTTGCGGGCGCGGTGCAGGTGCATCTGGCCCCGGCCATCGCCAGAGTCACTGCTACGGAGGCGGACCTGCGGGGCGTCCAGGACCGAACGAGCAACCTCGAACTTGAGCGGCAACACCTCAGGCGCGAGGTCCAACGCATACAGGAGACGCTGGCACTCGCAGAGTCAGCGGCCACACCAGAGAGCATCGACGTCGTGAGGTTTGCGACCTGGGACAGGGAGACCAACCCCCGCCTCTTCAGCATCAACATGGGGACCGAGGTCACCAAGACGGCGCTGCTCGAGGGACTGGCAGAGCTGCTCGACCTCGCGAAGATCAAGGCAGAAGAGGTCGAGATTGTGGGACCAGACGCCCCAGGTAAGAAGCTCGCTGCACTGCCCAGGAGGTGAAGCTGTCACTCTCAGGGCCCAGGCATTGGTACGTGCGCAACGTGATGCTACTGGCAGATGGAGGAAGTTCAGTGCCACATGTGTCGATGGCTACGAGACTAACATATTCATTGGACCAGATCGCAATCCAAAACAGATCCGACGAGAGGTCCAGACAAAGAAATTACAACAAGTGCTTCAACGTGCTGCACCCGACGGTGACTGGTGGTCCAATCGCCAACAGGGCCTCGTGTACTGCGGCAACCTACCTCTGGTGGAAGTGGTACCTGGGGCCGCCCCCAACGACCCGTCCAAGCTCGCATGGAGCCCTGCGGCGCTCGCGCAGCATGCCATCGACAAGGATGAGATCCCCGGGCGTTCCATCAGCTCTTCAGGGAGGTGGGTTCGTCGAATTGGTCTCGCTCCTGACGCGCGGTGGTGATGGGACCTAGAGCCCGATGGGAAGGAGCTCGAAGTCGTCACATGGAACGCAGCCGCGCTACTATGCCGTGACAGGCGCAGACGCAGGATGAGGATGGCAAAAGCGATCGACCACTCAAAGTTGGAGCTATCGTATGTCAGCAGGAGGTCCATGGCATGCACGAGGCCCTGGAGAATCTGCCGAGACAGTATTCTATTGAATTCAAGCTCTTCACTTCCATGTGCGACACCTTGGGTGCTGGGGGAGTAGCGATCATTGTGCCGTGGCATTCTCAATTCACGCTTGACCAGCACGGCCCAGACACCTGGCTTCAGTTCGTTCCCCACAGTTTAGGGACTGGTCGCATCATCTCCCTCGGCATCTGCAATCCTGTCAGCCTCGAGGCTATCGTGACCATCGATGTGCGCAACTACGGCCTGCAACCCGCTGACCGCACAGCTGTGAGAAGCGCGTGGCACATCAATGCCAGCTGGATTCGCGAGGACGAGTCTAGGCGCACTCCTGGTTGGCGACTGTAACGTATCATATAATCCCAATGATTCGTTTATTTTCTTTGGGCCCCGACAGGCGCGACTGTCGCGAGCCGGCGGAGCAGACCGCCGCGAGGCCTTTTGGAGAGGCCTCTTCGGTGGCCACATGACAGAGGTGACCACTGATCTCCCCACTCATTTCTCTCGCTCCACCTCCTCCCTTTGCTCGATCGTCCGTGCCTATGTTTCCCTCTCCCCTCGCTTCCTTCTTCGGCCTGAGACCTCCTTGGGGCTCGTAAAGGAGGCCCCAGAGCTTTCAGACTCTCATCTCAGTGATACGCGATCCTCCGCCTGTCTCTGAAGCCTCACTCCGCCGCACCTAGGACCGAAAGAGAATCCCTCCGCTCATTTTAAAACGCCGCAGGTTCTCGGAGATCCTGAGCAACTGTCCTGTCGGCTGCGATCTCGGCTCCGGGCCCCCTCCCGAGGCTTGGTCTCTCTCTCCTCTAAGAGACGATGATCGCGGCCGCGACAGCCACCAGGCGTGAGCCTGTAAAGTATCCCAAGGGGATAGGCGGAGATGATAATATTAGAATTGCCGTCCCCCCTTCCTGTGGTTCGGCTTAGGATCGGAGGAGGAGTGCCTGGGCACCGACTTCTCTCCAGAGGTAACCCACAATTTTGTGTCTCTGGCTTCCAGTTTTTTCCGTGAGATCAGAGATGAATTGGCGGTCAATCGCCAGTCATCTGGCTCCTATGCCCACCACCTTTCAACGCGCCAGGCGGCGCTCCTGAGGCACTAACGACACGGCTCGTCCAAGGGACGTGCGCTCCTTCTCCTCCTCCTCCTCCTCCACCTCCTCTTCCTCCTCCTCCTCCTCCTCCTCCTCCTCCTCCTCGTCCTCCTCCTCCTCCTCCTCCTCCTCCTCCTCCTCCTCCTCCTCCTCCTCCTCCTCCTCTCCCTCACCCGCTGCGCTGCCGCGCATGCCCGCCACCTCCCTTCTGGTTCGGCCGGGGGGGTGTGGGGAGGGGGCTGGGCCAGGGGTTGGGTGGGGGGTGGCGAGGGGGGGGGTCGGCTACGGTAGCTTTGTGTCGTGGCGACGCGTCGGCCACTTCAGCGCGGGCGCTCAAGGTTGGACGCCGCCAATGGCCCATAATCGGCCAACACGAGACGACCTGGCACTCGAAAGGCCGCCGGTCGCTCAAGGTTGAACGATAGGAGGGGTGTGAGAAACCAACGCCGATGTCGTCGCGACGCGAGCTTGCCGTGCGCGTGAGGCTGACCCTTCGCCTGAGCGACCTGTGCTGCGGGCCCACAGGGACCCCTGCAGCACGAGCCTGCGCGCTCGGACACAGCCCCCCCACCCCCTCGCCGGCGGCCCCCGAGAGCCGCGCACGAGGGGCCGCCCTTGCTCGGGGCCGCTCTTGCGCCGAGGATCCCCGAAAAGGTTTGAATAAACCAGGAGGATCGCCTACACGTAAGAGTGACCCTTCGCCCAGAGTCTTCAGAGGGTCACTCTTACCCAGGGCCACTCTTGCGTGCAGCCGAGGGAAGCAACCCTTCGCCCAAAGGCTTCAGAGGGTCCGCAAGGGTCCATAAGCCCACCCGCAGAAAGAACCATCCCTTTGCCCGGAGAGCAGTCCCACTTCCCAGGGGGCAAACTCTTCGGCGGTGTGCGCGGGCGGCCCCTCCGTGAGATGTCGCCCTGGGCTGCGCTCGGACTTCGGAGGGCTTAAGGTCCTCCTGGGCTCGCACTGCCGGACACGGGTGCTGTCAGCATCGGCCTCGGCGCCTTCGGGGGGGTCCCGCCGCGGCTCCGCCAACGGGCGGCACACGGACGCAGACACGCGCCGTCTCGGTTCCCTAAATAGTGCTTGCGCTCAGGCGTTCTCACGTGTCTCCCTGCGGAGTTGGATGGGTCCGCCAAGGTTTCGCCACGTTGCCGCCCGTGAGGGCCTCGTGGGCGCCCCGTGCGCTGGGCGGGTCCGCCGAGGGTTCGCCGGTTTTCAGGCACGCGGCCCCCAGAAGTCCCGACCCCTTCCCCGAAGCCGGTGTTTCACCCCGAGCCGATGGGTAGCGGCCCCGATGCACGGGGAGGGCGCCCAGGATGGCCAGAGCCTCCCCGCCGGGATCTTTTCCCACAGCGCGAGCACTCCGGGGAGGGGGTCGCACACCTTCCAGCCGCGGCGCAGCGCATCCTGGCGGATCCCCCTCTCGCCCGTGGAGCCGGCTGGCGATGCTCCTGGCACTCTTCTTGCTGGTGGGCGGTGGGCGCCGCAGACGCGCCCGGCGCGCAGGGGGTGGGCGCCGCCCTTCCGAAGGGAAAAGGGGTGCCAGTGCCGCTGCTCGTCCTGGAGGGGCCTCGTCGCCGTGGCTGGGTATCAGAGGAGGGCGAGGTACAGGTATCGCTGCTCGTCCTGGAGGGGCCTCGTCGCCACGGCTGGATTCTCCTCGAGGTTCTGGTCATGACGCACCCCTGAAGAGGTCTGGGGAGAAGCGGGTCTCTATGTTTTGTCCCCCCAGGTTCTCATCGAAGTTTTGGTCAGAGTGGCTCTGCTCCAGGTTTCTCTGTCGCGGAGAGATGGTGGGAGTTCCACAAGCAAGGCTCCGTCTTTGAATAATCGACCAGTCAGTCACTCTCTCTCTCTCGGCGGAATCTGTGGAAACTGGCCAAGGTGTGACGACGGCGCGTCCGCCAGCGGAAGTATTCCAGGGAGGCCTCAAAAGTCAGCACCAGGGTACTCACGTTTTTCGGAATCTGCCATGGTGATGGTCGTCATGGTAATGAAGATGCTGATGACGACGACGACAACGACGACCACGATGTTGATGATGAGGAGGATGATGATGATGAGGATGAGCATGAGGAGGAGGAGGAGGAGGAGGAGGAGGAGGAGGGGAAGAGGAGGAGGAGGACGATGATGATGATGATACTGATGATGAGTATGATGATGCGATGGTGATGACGATGATTGTGACGAAGATGATGAGGAGGATGATGCTGAAGAAGGATTGGAGAGGAGAACCAGGAGGATGAGGTGGAGGAGGAGGAATGAAGAACGTCAGGGTGGGGCCCTCCCCCTCTCGCCTTACACCCCTCTCATCCCCCCCCGTTTACTGGTCTTCTCCCACCCCCAGGAGAAACCCTGCTCTCCCTCCCCCCGGGCCTCTCTGTATGCTTCTTTTTGTTATTATTATCTCTCTGGTTCTCTCTCCCTCTCTCATTTTCTTTGTATATCGTATATATGTCCGTATACAGGCTTGTACGGTCATACCATTTGGTGCGTGCATCCCCTACGCCGTCTACCCTCCGTTCCAGAGCTGTTCTGGCTCGTGAGTTTTGGCCCCGAGCCAGGCTCCCCCTCTCCCGCGTCGCGGGAGGGCGCCCGCCGCGGCGCGAGGGTCGCAGGGCGCCGTGGCATCCGCGCGACGCCGTCGCGCGGCCTGTCGGCGGACCTGAGCCACGGCACGATGCATGCGCTCGGTGCGCCGAGCACGAGCGCACTCCGATCCGGGAGAGGGGTGCTGCTCGCGGAGGCGGCGTCGTCGCCTCGGTCGGGGAGCTGCTTGACGACGGCCTGGGGCTCGAGGTCGTGGGGGACGACGTCGAAGCTGCGGCCGCCTTGGAGGAGCTGGAGCCGTCGCCCGCCGAACCGTCTGTCATCGAGTCGAACGCGTTCTACTTGAGTACAGGCTTCAGAGACGGTGGGAAGCAGCAGTGCGATTTCGTGTGGCTGGCGCTGCGGGCCGTCCTCCGAGCAGCTCGTGGACGCGAGGCTACTATTCAGCGACGTTGCGTACCGGGACTGGTGGGCGGCGTCTCCAAGCGCAGCGGGCGAGATCTCTCCCAGCGCCCTGCCGCACATCTGCACGGGCGAGCCGTGCGGCGTGGAGGCGCCTGCGGACTGCGACGAGCTTACCCGCGTCTCGGACGCCCGCAGGCTGGAGGCGGAGGACACCGCCGAGGTCTTCTCCAACCGCTTGCCCTGCAACCCCGAGGCGGTCTGGCCCGCGGACCTGCTGGGGCCGCGTGTGGCGCGGCTGGGCGCCTCGCGTCCATCGGCGCGCCCGACGGAAGAGAGTACTGCGCCGCCGACGCCTGGGGCAGCAGGGCCGCGGGCAACCAAGCGCATGCTCGTGGGCCACGACGCTCCCGTCGCTGGGCTGCTCGGCGACATTGCCCTGACCGCGCGGGCTGCAGGCCTCCCGCTCGATTCGGAGCCCACGCAGGACGAGCAGCGGGACGGGCTCGCTGCGGCGCGGGACCGGTTCACCTCGGCAGCGCCTCGGGCCGCTGCGGCTGGCGCACCTCTAGGCAGGGCAGAGGGCGCGCCGAGCGAGGGCAAGCCGAAGAAGCGGAGCCTCGCCGAGGTGCTCGCGGAGCGCATGGCGAAGGTCGCCAAGGCGCCCAGTGCCGAGGGGGCGCGCGGCTCAAGCGGCCCCGCTGCTGCGGCTGCGGCCAGCGGAGGAGCTGCGGGCGAGGGCGTGAAGGAGCTGGCGACGGTGCTCATGGCGGTGCTCAAGAGCTCGGCCGCGCAGGCTGCTGGCAGCTCGGGAGCTGGCGCTGCCTCGGCCCCCTCAGCGCGGCCGACGGGGCCGCAGCCACGGGGAGACTTGCGACCGAACGGGCTCACTGCAGGAAGATGGCGCAAGACCAACCTGGCCAGTTGACGGAGCTCGCGCTGATGCAGATGGCAGAGTTCCTCGGCGCCGTGGAGGGCGACGCGGCGGTGGACCTGACGACGGCGCTAGAGCTGAGGCACCTGCTCACGATCTTCTTGCCGCAGAACCCAGTGCAGCAGATCGGGGTGACTGCGCGTCGCGAGGTGCGGACGCCGGCCGAGGTGGCAGTCGGCGACGGGCACTGGGGCGCGGCGAGGTGGCTCGCGCTGACCCCCGCCAAGGACGAGCCCACCACGCTGCCGAACGAGGAGGAGGAGATGATCCGCAGCATCGAGCTCGGCGAGTTGAAGCTGGAGGAGCTCAGCAGCCGGCTTCGCAGCCCGCAGGGTTGAGGTGGAGGCTGGAAGGAGGCGCATCCACTGCTGGCGCCTCCTCCTGCAGGCCTGGCAGGGGGGGTGCCCCCTGCGACAGCGCGGCTGCGCGGCAATCGTGCGCCCGACCGCCCGAGGGCGCCGAAGGTCAGCGTGAAGGAGGGCGATGGGGCCGCCTCCTCATCTAGTCGTCCAGCCCGACAAGACCGCAGAGAAGCTGCCCGCTGGAGACTCGCAGGCGCCGCTGAACTTCAAGGCGGCGAGGGCTGCCGGTCCGAGGGTGGACGGCGAGACGTCGAAGGGGCACAAGACGCGGCGGCGGAACTTCATGGTGGCGTCGCGCGGCCAGGGGCGGTTGCAGACGTTGCCGAGGTTGCTGGAGGTGCAGCCTCTGAGGGGGGGGCGCGGCGCGGTTCCCGACCTGTAGCAGCGGGCCGCTGCTGGCGTCTGGGGGCCCCCCCTGGCTGGGGGCGGAGGGGGCAAGGAGCCACTTCGCGGCTGGAGCGCCTCCCAGCGGGGGCCAGCAGCGGGAGCTGGCGAGCGCCTCTTTCCCACTCGGCGCGCGGGGGCCCCCCGCCGCGGACTGTGCCGCGCGCGACGCTGGGGTGTGGCTCGACGAGGTCGCGGTCCAGATCCGCACGACCGTCACATGCGTCGACGTGACAGTGCACCTCGTGCAGCTCATCGAGCGACGCCCTGGCAGCCCGGGGACTTTCTCGAGAGTTTGCGGAGCACGTGTCCACGATTAGCGGGGGCGGCAGGCGCGTTCGTGACCTGGTGCCGCTGCCCCTGCCAAGTCTCCCGGCTGTCAGGCGTTGGTGCACGAGCGGAGATGCTGGGCGCAGGTGCAGGGCTGGGCCTTTCGCTCGTCAGGTAGATGAGGAGCTCTGGTTGCTTCTCACCGTCGGCGCTGAACTCACGCACTGTGGTCGCTGCAGAGAGGGTTGCAGGCGTCGCGCGATCTTGTCCCAGCCACGGCAGCAGGCCACGCGGTTCCTGAAGTCCCGCGTCGTCGACTCTTTGGCGGACCCGCTCGAGCAGGCGAGCGTGCCCACGGCCGACGCGGCCCACGGCGGGGCGACCGTGGACTACACGGGCGAGCCCGTGGCCAAGGCTTTGCCCTGCGTGCTCGCGGAGCTGGCGCCAGGCTTGCCGCAGCCCGGGCATGCCGCGGCGCTGGGCGCCCGAGACTTCGATGAGCCCGACGTTGCCGAGTGGCTGGTCTCGCCCGAGAAGGCCCTTCTTCCCGAAGCTGACTGGCCCGACCCCGAGCCTCGGGCCAGGGTCGGCGTCGCGGGCGATGCGGGTTGTTATGAGCTCGCGGTGCACCTGCGGAGCTCGTGATTTTCGCGGTGCTGAGCGAGGGCCAACTCGTCAGGGTCAGGGGCGAGCCGCTCTTGAACGGGCTCTTCGCTGTGGCAAAGAAGGGCAAGCCAGGGCCAGGCGGCGAACGGGTCACCAGCCTGATCTTGAGCATGGCCCTCGGCAGCGCCCTGCTCAGGCTGCATGTCGGTGAAGCTTCGCTCCTCGCGGCGTTCACATGCTGGGTCTGCCTGCGCATCCCCCAGGGCAAGTTGCTGCTGCGGTCGGGTGACGCCCAGAAAGGGGGCCTTCTTCGTCTGGGGGATCCCCAAGGCCTGGCACCCTCACATGGCGGCCGGCAGGTCTCTCGCTGGCGCACTCTTCGGGCGCCCCGAGCGGCAGGTGTACATCGCGCCCGCGGTGATTGCCATGGGGGGGATGCTGGCGGCCCCAATCTTCCAGCACATGCACCGCAGGCTGTCGCGCCTGGCGTCGCCCTCAGGGGTGCAGGGCTTCCGCCTGAGCTGGAGCGGGGCGAGGCACGCCCGATTGTCGATCTGGGCAGTGGCTGCGAGGCCAGCAAGTGGCAGGTGCACATCGACGACTTCGACGCGCCCGAGATCGCGGGCGAGGGGCGGCCGCGACAGCCCAAAGGCACCGAGGCGGACTGCCAGCAGCGCGTTCGCGAGAGGTACAGGTGCGCTGGCGTGGCCTACTCGGCGGAGAAGGCTGACCTGCGGGAGGCGCGAGGGGAGCGCGCGGGGGCCGACGTGGATGGCGTCAGCGGGCGACTTGCAGCGCCAGGCCCAAGGCGTTGAGTGCCGCTGGCCTTTGCCTCGCGACGTTGTCGCGGGAGCGGGTGTCCTGGCGGGCGTGCGCGATGGCCCTCGGCAAGCTGGTGCGGGCTTTTGAATTCTTCACGCTTCGCGTATCCCACCAGCCCATCTCAAAACAGCAACTCTAGCGAAGCATGCCGACAGTCGTGTTTTTCAGGCGTGTTTCCGCCTGCCCCCGCATATCTCCCCTGTTCCTCCTTCCCCCGCCTCCTTGCACATCCTCCTTGTGGTGGGAGCGGGAGAAGGACGAGGCGGAGGAGGGGGGAGAGAAAGCGCTCCTCGTGGTTTGAGTCGTTCGGGCTTCTCGTCCTGGTGTGAGTCGTTCGGGCCCTTTCTTCCTGGTGTGAGTCGTTCGGGCTCTTCGTGGTGTGAGTCGTTCGGGCTCTTCGTCCTGGTGTGAGTCGTTCGGGCTTCTCGTGGTGTGAGTTGTTCGGGCCCCTCGTCCTGGTGTGAGTCGTTCGGGCCCCTCCTCCTGCCCGTCCAGAAACGACGCCCAGGCGAGTAGAGGGTCGTCCTGATGGGCTTTTCGGCGTCTTGGGTGCCTCGGGGGGGCCTCTTTGGGCCGTTTGGGATCTTCTTGGGGGCCTCCTGGGGGCCTCTTGGGGCCATCTTGGGGCCTCTTGGTGCCTCCTGGGCGCTTCTTGGGGCCATCTTGGAGGAAATCGATCAAATAAGAGGGGAGCGTTAAGTAGCGCTGCCCCCTGAGAAGGGCAAAATGAGCCCAAAACTTGCGTAAACTCAATGATTTTGCCTTGAAGGAAGATGGGGAGCTTTAATTAGCGCTGCCCCTCAGAAGGCCAAAATGGGGCCAAAACCGTAGTAAAATCAATGATTCTGGCTGCAAAGAAGAGGAGAGGTTTCCCCCCCCCCCCCCCCCCCCCGTCGGGGCCAGAATCCTCGTGAGGGGTGTCGTTGTTTAGCCCTCCCAGTAGTCGAACATGACCCCCCCCCTGACGACCCGCGGAAGGACCTCTCCAGGTCCAGGGGGAGGGGGTAGGGGGAGGGGTAATTACCTCCCCGAAGGGGAAGAAGGGGGGGTGAGAACAGAGCGGGCTCTCTAAACCACTCACGCCCAAAGGGCTGGTGGGATTCAGACGCCCACTTTCCGACCTCCTCAACTCTATATGGCCCCTGTCGGCGGCGCGGTCTGCGGTCCAGTGCAATGCCGAGATAGTCGACGAGCTCTTCTCGGGCCTAATGCTGCTGCTTACAGCGACCACCTCTCTTCGCGCCCGCATTGAGGGGGCGGTCGCGGCCTCGGGCGCCTCGGAGTTCGGGGGCGGCGTCTCCGCGTGCACGAGCCTTCGCGGGGAAGCGGCATTGGCGCTCGAAGCCGTGAGCCAGGTCGCTGATCGCCACGGCGTGGGCACTCGGCCGCTCAGCATGCCTGTAGACCCGCGATGCCCCTGGACCGTGTCCAACCCGAGGGCCCCGAAGGAAGCCGTGTTGAAGGTGCTCAACGTCTTAGTCGTGGGGCTCTTCGACGGCATCGGCGGCATCGCGGTGTCGCTCTCGAAGTTGCCCGCCAGGATCGTCGTCTATGCCACCGCCGACACCGACGCGAAGACCAGGCGCGTTGTCCAGCTGCGCTGGCCAGGCGCGATCGATTGGGGCGACGTGGCGCGGGGGGACGAGAGCCCATTGCAGGACCTCTTTGACGCATTCTTGGAGGCTGTGGACGTGGGCGTCGCTGGCACGGGTAGCCCGTGCCAGGACCTCTCGCGGCTCGACGCGAGCGGTGGGGGACTGCATGGCCGCGCGAGTTCCCCGTTCTACGAGGTGCCCTGGATCGTCTGGCTCTTGCGGAAGACGCGCGGGCGGCGGTTCTACTCGCTGCTCGAGAACGAGGCGAGGATGACAGACGAGAGCGTCAAGGCCATGTCCAGCTGCATGGGAGTTAAGCGTACCTCCCGTGCTTGTCGGTCACGGTGGTGCGCCGCAGGCCGCGGCTCTTCTGGCTCAGCTGGCAGCCCCAGGTGGCACCGCCGCTGCGCCTTGTCGACAAGGGCCGCTACCTCGAGGTCACTGCAGTCAACGGAGCGCTGCTGGGCATCGAGTGGGAGGACCAGAAGTTTCGCTGGGCCAAGCGCCTGCTTCTCCTTCTCGACGCTGGTGTGTTGTGGGACGCCCCCGAGCTTTCCGTCGGCGCCGCAGGGCCTGGGCTCGGCATCCGATGAGACGCGGGCACGCTGGCAGGCCGACTTGTGCCGCTATCACGTTGCGCTGTGCGAGGAGAAGAATCTCGCCCGCAATGGTTTCGGGAAGCCGCCAGGCAGGCTGCCGCGCTGCACGGAGAGAGGGAGAGAGAGAGAGAGAGAGAGAGAGAGAGAAAGAAAGAGAGAGAGAGAGAGAGAGAGAGAGAGAGAGAGAGCCGCTGCTCGGGTTCCGCGTGGGTTACACCGCTGTAGCCGCGAAGAAACTTGCGGGCCGCCTCAGACGCCAGGACCTTCCTGCTCGGGAACAGCCTCAGCGTCTATGCGGTCGCAGGGCCTTTGCAGCGCGTCCTCCTGGCGGAGTCCGCTTTGGCGCGCCCCCCCTGTCCGTGCCCGAGATCGCGCGCGTCGGCCAGTGCCGCGAGCCCCGGGGCCAGGGCGGCTGCTTCGAGGACAGCTCGGCGACCCGAACATCGAGGAGGCCGGGCGTCTCGTCCTCCACTGCCTGAGCCGCGCGGAGAAGGGGGGCTTGGACGTGCGGTTGGATTGCGGCCTACCGTGCCGTCCGAGAAGCTGCCCTTGCCCGCGCCTGAACCCCTTCGCGTGGCGGTGGCGCGCCATGCTGAGTATGGCGTGGCCGTGCGATGCGCGAGCGTACATCGACGTGAGAGAGCTGCAGGCAGCGCTGGGTGCTCTGCGGTGGCGAGCGCAGAAATCAGCTTGACACTGCGCGCGGTGGCTGCACCTCGTCGACAGGCAAGTTGTGGCGACCATCGTGACCAAGGGTCGCAGCAGCAGCCGCCACTTGCAGCCAGCGCCGAGGCGCTGGATGGTCATGGTGATCGCGGCGGACGTGCGCCCGCTGATCGGCTGGCATCGCACAGGCAAGCGACACCGTTGCGGGCGTGAGCTCCCCGTCGCCCGAGTTCAGGCGGAGGCGGGACCTGTCGTAGGCGCTGCTGAAGGCCAAACGGCGAGCGGAGCCCACAGCGCGGGCGCTGCCGTTCACGCCCGACATCGCCGCGGCCATGGCAAGCCTGGCGGCGGAGGCCAGAGCACTCGACTTGAGTTGCCTGCTGCTCAGCAGCTCTGAGGGCCTGCTATGGGGTGGCGAGGCCTTTGCGGTGACGGCAAACGACTTTCTCGGCCGAGGCCCTCAGTCGCGCCGCGGATCAAGCCGTCCAGGACCACGCAGGCAAGGATGCCATGGAGGCCGTCGTCACAGGTCAGCGGTGGCCAAGGCAAGGCTCAGGCTGGCCGCGCAGCAGGGCCCTCAAGCGAAGCCCTGTCGTGCAGGTCGCCCGTGCAGCTCAGAATCGCGCTCGGCGCCCTCGCGCACGGCCCGGCCCTTCCTGGGCGCTTCTCGCGGCAGCCCGCCCGACGAGGAGGCGCCTCGGACTTTTCCTGCGGTCGCCACGCTCGCGAGGGGCAGGTGGGCCTGCAGCATGACGGCCCGCGTCTACATCGAGATTGCGGGCCCGACTTCGCGCGCGTGCGGCCCCAGAGCAGGCCGCGCCGCTTGCTTGCATGGATTGCGTTTGTTGCGAGCATTCTCAGAGCTGTAAAAAGTTGTTTTTACTGTATATGCTCACGAGCTTCCCTCTGGCAAGGATCTCGTAGGTCCCAATTCGACAGCAGACTAATGCACTGCAAATGAGGTGGAGGGGTGGAGAGTTTAAAAGCATTTTCACGGCTAGCAAGCCACGAGGGGGTGGAGATGGTATAGCGTGTTTTCCCCGTTTTGCGGTGCCGCGGACTGGGGTTCAGTGTGACATGGGCCCTGAAACGCCCCTCCCCGTCGTGAAGCTGGCCCGTGAAGCCCAGAGCGAAGCCAGTGTGGATTGCCACGCTTGGTTGCTCTGGCTGCGGCGGGGGGCCTTGCTCTTGGCTTGGCGCAGCTGCGGGGGAAGGGGGCGTCGGGCGGTTCGCGGCGAACCGCAGTCTGTGGGGGAAACTGAGCTATCATACCATTGGCGTGGACACGTGCAGTAAAACGGTATGTCCGTATACAGGCTTGTATGGTCAGACCATTTGGTGCGTGTATCCCCTGCGCCGTCTACCCTCCGTTCCAGAGCTGTTCTGGCTCCCGCCCACACACCACCCACCATAATGATCTCTGGTAGAGGCTAGCCAGCTCAATGCTTGCCTGAGGTGCCGTAGCCCATCAGGTATAGCGTGTTTTCCCCGTTTTGCGGTGCCGCGGACTGGGGTTCAGTGTGACATGGGCCCTGAAACGCCCCTCCCCGTCGTGAAGCTGGCCCGTGAATCCCAGAGCGAAGCCAGTGTGGATTGCCACGCTTGGTTGCTCTGGCTGCGGGGGGCCTTGCTTTTGGCTTGGCGCAGCTGCGGGGGAAGGGGGCGTCGGGCGGTTCGCGGCGAACCGCAGTCTGTGGGGGAAAGTGAGCTATCATACTAGTGGCGTGGACACGTGCAGTAAAACTGTATGTATATATATATATATATATATATATATATATATATATATATATATATACATACACAAGACTGCAGTGGCGCTTCGCGCCATGCACCTTGCTCCTTGAACTTTGGTTTGCAGGCGGAATGGCAGGAAGGTCAAGCCGACATTTTAGCGACAATTCCTGGTTGCCATTTTCCGACATCGCCGCTATAATGATGTTATTCGTTTTCTTTCCTCCATGCTTATTGTTCTTTATTTTCGCCATAAAATTGTTTTCGTGTTTTCTTAAGGCCTTCTGGAGGCCTCCTGGGCGTATTCTGGGGGCCCCCGTGGGCTTCCTCGGGCCACCCTGCCTCCAACCGCCGTCTCCCTGAACGACCGAATCACGATTTGGAATGTTTCGGAGGGTGTCTTTGGGCCATCTTGGGCCGCCATGGGGCTCTCTGAGGGCCATCTTGGACCCGTGTTGTGCCGTGTTGGGGCTCTCTTGGTCTGCCTGGAAGTCCTTTCGGATGGTTGTGGGGCGATTTGGGAGCCTCCCAGGCGGCTTCGGACGCCCAGAAGACCGCCGTCTTGGAGCGTCGGGAAGCCGAAAAGAGGAGAACCCCAAAATTCACCAAAACCCTTCAGAAAATCAATGATTTTTGCCTCGGGGGGCCTTTTTGGGAGTGCTCTTGGAGGCCTCTTTGGGGCCGTCCTGGAGGCCTCTTGGGCCATCTTGAGGTCACGTCGGTCACTCTTGGAGCGCTCTTGTGCTGTCTTGGGGGTCTCTGGGACGTCTCCGATGACCCCCCTGATCGCCCTAAGTGTGCTGGGAAGGCTTGGCAAAACGCCTTGCGAGGCCTGGTGGCCGCTTCGAGGCCCGTCCGGAGGGCCCCAAAGCCCCAGGTCCTGGGAGTCTGTTTATTTTTTTTGGGGGGGGTGATGGGTTTTCCCCCCGCCCGGGCTTATAAAAATATAGGAATACATATATATATATATATATATATATATATATGTATACATGTATCTCTCTCTCTCTCTGTCTCTTTCCCTATCTCTGTCTCTCTCTCTCTCTCTCTCTCTCTCTTTCGTATTATCTTACTCTCTCTCTCTCTGTCTCTCTATCTTTCTCCGTGAAACTCCAATTCATATATATATATATATATATATATATATATATATAAGGAGGGGTGGGACCACCACCACCGAAACGGGACCCCACGGATCCGTGTCCCCGGGGGCCCCCTGGACGCCCCTACAGGAGGCGCCCCAGGCTTTTCAGAGCTCCCGGAAGCCCTTGCTAGACCTAGGCCACGGGCCCAAATCGGTCGGCCGAGCGCCCTCCCAGGGCCCCAAAGAGGCCCCAGACACCCACCAAACACCCGAAGACGACCCCAAAAAGACCACCGAGATGCTTGCAAAATGCAGAACAACATTGATTTCCTAGATGTTTGCGTGATTTGGGGAATGCCCAGTTCTTCGGTCTTGTGGGCGTCCGAGACCGCCTGGGAGGCCCGAACATCGCCCCATCCGAAAGGGCTTCCAGGCAGTCCAAGAGAGCCCCAACACGGCACAACAGGGTTCCAAGATTGCCTACGAGACTTGCAAGGGGAGCTTGAGGCACTGTGACCTCAAGTGACGAAAAGAAGTTCAGGGGTTGAAGGGTCGTGCGCTTGGGAGGGAAAAAAAAAGATTGCCTATGAGACCCCATGACGGCCCAAGATGGCCCTAAGACACCCTCCGAAGCATTCCAAATCGTGACCCGGTCGTTCAGGGAGACCGCGGTTGGAGGCAGGGTGGCCCGAGGAAGCCCCCAGAGGCCCCCAGAAGACGCCCAGGAAGCCTCCAGAGGGCCTTAAGAAAGCTTTTAAACATCCGTGAGGCCCCCAGAAGCTCTCCAAGGAGGAACCTCCGCAAAAAGAGCCGAGGAGGATGGGGAGTAAGTCGCAGGGTAGGGCGAGAGTGAGGAAAACGAAACATGGAGCAAGGATAACGAAAAACATTATTATAACGGCGACACCGGAAAAGGCAACAAGGAATTATCGCGAAATTGTCTGGTTGACCGTCCTGCCCTTCCGCCTGCATGCCAAACTTCAACGACCAAGGTGCATGGCGCGAAGCGCCACTGCAGTCTTGTACATTCCCCAATCAGAGCTTGCCTCTGTAGGGTCCTTGCGGATTCATATGGTTAGGTTAGCTGCGTCGCCGATTTTGGCGGCCCGCCCAGGTGCCCCAGTGCCTGGGTGCCCGGTATCTGCGTCGCCGATTTCGGCTGCCCGCCTGGGTGCCCCATAGCCCTATAGCCCTGTAGCCCTACAGCCCTGTAGCCCTATAGGCCTACAGCCCAATAGCCCCACAGCCGGATAGCCCTATACCCTATAGCCCTATAGCCCTCGAGCCCTATAGCCCTCGAGCCCTCTAGCCCTCTAGCCCTCCAGCCCTATTGCCCTACAGGCCAATAGCTCTATAGCCTTATAGCCCAATAGCCCTACAGCCCTATAGCCCAAGCCCTATAGCCCTCTTGCCCTCTAGCCCTATAGCCCCATAGTCCCATAGCCCTCTAGCCCCATAGCTTCATAGCCGCCCAAAAAGATTATGATTGGGGTTTCTCTCCGGTATCATTTATGATGTCCCTCTCTCCCTATCTCCCTCTCTCTTTCTATCCCTTTCTCCCTCTCTTCAGGTCCGTGCGCCGCTTGGCAAGCGTGCACTGTGGCGCGGTTCCTGAAGGGGTGCTGGATGGATGCCGCCACTTCCAGCGGGGTACCGTCATGCCAAAGACGGGCGCAGTCCTCGTTTTACCCAATCGGGTGGGCTCGGACTACTGGGCTGCAACGTCACAGCCCACCTTATGCTCCCTCGTGGAGGGTCCCCCTCGCCCTTCCCTTCCCTCCTTCTCTTTCCGCGGGATTCTGTCCCCTGACCGTCCGCGCAAGACGGGTGTGAAGGGCCCCTTCAGCCGACAGCACCGGCCAAAGTGTTTCGGGTGCTGCGCGCTTGCCCGCCAGCCCGTGGACGGAACTCCGCCCAGATTGTCCGACCTCTCTCTTCCTCTCTTCCTCTTTCTCTCTCTCTCTCGTTATCTCTCTCTCTCTCTCTGACTCTCTCTCTCTCTCTCTCTCGCTCTCTTTCTCTCTTTGTGTTATTGTTTTTGTTTGTTTCGTTGTTTGCAAGTGGGGGGCGATGACTGGGGGGCGTCACTATCATGGCGGGGGCCACGCTACCTCTCCAGATTTCATGGCCCCCCTTCTTATTGCAATACGTCCTCTGCCCCCCCCCCTCCCTGGGCCGCGCGCGCGCACATGCCTCGGGCCGCGTTTTGCGATCTCCCCTCTTGGACGCCCCCCCCCTCTTGGCCGCCCACGGGATTGCTTGCCCAGCGCAGCCAAGTCGGGGGTTCGCAGGCATGGCCGACCAGAGCTCGCGCACAGAAAGGTGTCGGATCAGCACGGGCGAGCGGTTTGGTCTCGTTGGGCCCCCCCTCCCCTCCGTCCTCCTTCGGAGTCGGCCCCGGGGCCTTTCCTGGACGAGAACGCTCTGACCAGGATCTCGAAGCGGATCCAGCCGCGGTAACAATACCCTCCCAAACAGAGGAGGAGGGGGCCGAGGAGAAGTAGGAGGAGGAGAAGGAGGAGGATGGGGAGGAGGACCAGGGGGAACCCAATTTGTGTCAGCGGTGCTTCATTGCGTATGCTCTCCCGTCCCCCCCCTCCATGGGTCCCCACAAGCGTGCGTGTTCATTCCAAGATGCGCCCCCTTTGAAAGATCATCACTTTTGGGCTTGCCATGAGCCCCGTTTTGAAAAGGAGCTGCCTTGCACATTTCTAGCGCGAAATCGGGAATGCGAACATGTTTGATCATACAGATCAGCGAGGTGCTCAACTAGATTTCCTTCTCTTTTTGAAAAAGGACCACCCCATCCGTCCAATTGCTGCACAAACTTGCACTTCTGGCCATGAGCTTCGAGGACATCTCAAACAAGAACCACATTCGAAAAGGAGCCGCCCGCCATCTGTACAGCTGCTACATTTCAAGGAGCCTCAAGCGATACACACATTCTGGCAAGGAACCGTGCTCATTCCGTGTAAGAATTTGCGCAGCGCTAGGGCGCCAGCCCCATCATGAAAAGGAAGTGCCCTCCATTCCTGTAGCTGCAAGAAAATGTTAAGACGGATGTGCGCGGCGCTAAGGCGAGAACTCCATTTGTGAACACGCCCCCCTCCATCCGCCTATCAGTTGCCAACTTTCAAACCGAACGTGCGCGCTAAAGCGACATGCCCACCTTGTAAACGCACCCATCCATCCTTGTTGCTGTTGCCAGCTCTTCGAAACCGCCCTCCGTCCGTGAAACTTCTGCGAGTATTTAAAAAGAATGCGCGCGGCGCTAGTTCGATACCTTCATTTGGAACATGGCTCCTTCCTTTCTTGCAATAACTGCTGCGAGTGCCAACCCTCACGCTCGAAGCCGCTGAGGAGGTCTCAGGCGGGACGCCGGGCCCGCCCTACCAGCACGTCTGGGGCTGCGACAAGGAGGAGTCCTCCTCAAGGACAAGGGGCGGAGGGGGCGGAGGAGGAGGAGGAGGAGGAGGAGGAGGCGGAAGAGGCGGAAGAGGAGGACGAGGAGGAGGAGGAGGGAGCAGGATGAGGAGGAGGATACAAACAGGAAGGGGGCGACGGTGGAGGAGGATGGGGATGGGGAGGGGGGCAGCTTCGATATTACCAGCAGGCGCGCCCATGTGTTTTGTTGTTGTTTTGTCTCTCTCTCTCTCTCTTGTTTTCTTTTGTTGTGTTTTTCCCTACCTAGGCTCTGCCTAGAGGGTTCTTACTCGCTGGGCTTAAAGGGGCCAGGCAGTGTTCCTCGCCCCGGGCGGTTCCCCCAGTATCCGCCCCGCGGTTCCCCCAGTTGCGCCCCCTGGGTTCACCCAGCTTAGCTTAGCTTAGCTTAGCTTAGCTTAGCTTTAGCTTAGCATCAGCTTAGCTTTAGCTTAGCTTTAGCTTAGCTTTAGCTTAGCTTCAGCTTAGCTTTAGCTTTAGCTTAGCTTTAGCTTTAGCTTTAGCTTAGCTTTAGCTTAGCTTTAGCTTAGCTTTAGCTTAGCTTTACTGCTACTACTAATGCTGGTTTCCTAGGGGCTCCAACTCCTAGGTAGGGTCGCACTGGGATAATGTTGTCTCTCTCTCTCTCTCTCTCTTTCTCTTTCTCTCTTTCTCTTTTTTTTTTCCCTCTCTCTCTCTCTCTCCACGGTCTGCATGGTTGCTAGCTTGTCCTGCGGGATGCGCACCCACCCACAGAGTCACAGAGGGGGGAAAATCAGGATGTACGACGGAGGACGGAGCCTACCGGCTTTGCTGCTGATCGCGCCCCGCACACGCGGCGTCGTGCGACGCCCCGCGCGCGGAGTCCATGGGCCTCAAGCACTACCGCCTCAGCATCTCGTGGTCGCGCCTGGTCCCCACGGGCAAGGCCTCGTCGGAGGAGGAGGAGGAGGAAAAGGAGGAGGCGGAGGAGGAGGAGGCGGAGGAGGAAGGAGGAGGACGTGGAGGAGGTGGAGGGGGATGGGGGAGGCGGCGGAGGAACAGGAGGAGGAGGCGGAGGAGGAGGAGGAGGCAAAGGAGGAGAAGGAGGAGGATGTGGAGGAAGCGGAGGGGGATGGGGGAGGCGGCGGAGGAGGAGGAGGAGGAGGGGGAGGAGGAGGAAGAGGAGGAGGAGGAGGAAGAGGCGGAGGAGGAGGAGGAGGAGGGGAAGAGGAAGAGGAGGAGGAGGAGGCGGAGGAGGAGGAGGAGGGGAGGAGAAAGAGAAGGAGGCGAAAAGCAGGCGGAGGTGGAGGAGGAGGAGGAGAAGGAGAGGGAGGGATGAGACTCAATGGGCCGCCCGTGGCCCAGTGGTTTGGCACAGCAAGGACTGAGAGAAGAGGACAGTAAGAACGAGGAACAGAGAACAAACGGGAATGGGGATAGCGAGAAGAGCAAGAATGAGGCAGTGGAGGATCATGAGTCCACTAGGATGGATTGTTGTTGTTGTTGACTGGCACGTGACCTTGTTGCCCGGGGACCCCCCCAGCAACCAGCAACCAGCAACCGAAGGTTCATTTCAGCACACCCCTCTCGAGGATCGTGGGTTTGG